TCCAGGGTACTATTGGGGTTTGTTGTAATGCAATATCTACTGACTTTAAGTCCTGAAACATGATATGTGGGGTTCGATGAATTCTAAGCGCTCGCAGGATCTTGAATTATTGAATTCTTTACAAAAATAATCTGCACTTGTCTGGACTCAAAATGTGAACATCTACATTAAAAATTAATTTATGCATACACTTGCGATATTTTGTTACTTTAGAAGCTGCTGCAACTAGATGTGCTTTCATTTTATAAAACGAAAGTAAAACTGATCTTTAAAGATTCTAATCACATGAAATGCAACAGTGATGATGTAGAACAGTTTTTTTCCAGTGTTCTGCATCACAGGCCAAACAATTTAGCACTGTTTATGCGCTTGACACAAAATCTGAAATTAATATGAGTAGCTTTAACCTCATGTTAATATGGGAAGTAGAGAGTACAATGATTTTGTACACACTAGATTATCATCCTTTATTGCTTAATAAATATCAGGTGGAACCAGAGTTTATTTTTTTCTAGTTCTCATCTTAAAAAAAAAAAAAAAATAAAGCTGAAAAAAAGACATAAATCAGAAAAAATATTTAGATTGGTGAATCTATTATGTAAGATATGGGTTTGTGCAATTAGTACTTATTATATGCATTGTCAACATTTTAGAAACTTCTGATTATTCAAACACAACATCAACCAAAATAATGCTCAATAAATCTAATTTTTGGCTTGAATTTAGCAGGTATTAAATAAAAAGTATGGATACTTTGAATCGTGGGAACTATGTTTATTTGATAACATTACCTGCGTACTTGATGTTTGTGAGCGATTATGACATTTTACATTTTTTCGTTTCAATTTATTTGAGGAACTTATTTGCATATTTGGATTATTTTAAGTTTTTTTTGAATAAAATGTGAACAGACTTAATTATGGAAACATTTTACTCAAGACTTAATTATAAAAGATTCATGTACTGCTCATTATTGATTTTCAACATGTTTTTAATTTAAATCTCATTTGCATATTCAATTAATATTTGTGAACTATAAATGAGTTAATAGTGTCTACGAAATTAATCTGCTTATTTGCATAAAATCAATATTTGTGAATAAAGATTGAATGAATTTTAAGGGAAATGATCCTATATTTGATATAACTGTCTGAGTTTGTTATAAATTACCTTATTGTGATCTTGAGACTACTATATAATGGAACAATTTAATGGCATGAATTGGAGAAACTACTTTTTCTCAATAATTCTGTGTGAATTCATATATATCACAACGCTATTCTAAAATGTTACCAAGAAAATTTTGAAAAAAAACACACATTCAATCATGATTAAATGGAAGACCAAAAATATTCAATCCATCAAATACTTCACGTAATAGACCGCAAGAACCTATAGATATATGAAATCATATTCATTTTTGGTTCAACATTTCTCTTTGTTTTGTTTTACCTGAGCTCTTGGTAGTCAGATCCAGGCATAAGGCCATTACATCAATCTATTGATGTAAGTGCGCCCTCTATCATGCCAATCTGACCATGCTCTACTATGTACTTGTGTGTATATGACATACTTTCATATACAAATGGTCATCTAAAAAAGTTGAGCAGTATCTGTTGTATTTACAATTATTAAAGTCGCACTATATTTTGATTTTAATTTAAAAGTAACAATATGGTATATTGAGGCTTTTTTTAAACGTAGAGTCAAAATTGGCAGTTGTGCAGTGATTCTGTATGCAGGAAATAATTTAGATTTTATGATTAATCAAATCATGAAAATTGATTTACTTGAAATTTAAAGGGTGGTGGTTTTCACGCCGTGTCTTGTTCGATATGGGACTCATAGTGACGTATACAACACGTTTATATGAAATTTGAACACGAGCTGCATGATGACCACCACCTTTTAACAGTATGAGAGGCATGAGTAGTTTGGTAAATGCATCAACATGTATAGTAATATGAAAGTGCAGTAAATAAGGAATCATGAAAACTTGAAATACTTGAAATTTAAAGGGTGGTGGTTTTCATGCCGTGTCTTGTTCGATATGGGACTCATAGTGACGTATACAACACGTTTATATGAAATTCGAACACAAGCTGCATGATGACCACCACCTTTTAACAGTATAAGAGGCATGAGTAGTTTGGTAAATGCATCAACATGTATAGTAAAATGAAAGTGCAGTAAATAAGGAATCATGAAAACTTGAAATACTTGAAATTTAAAGGGTGGTGGTTTTCATGCCGTGTCTTGTTCGATATGGGACTCATAGTGACGTACACAACACGTTTATGTGAAATTCGAACACGAGCTGCATGATGACCACCACCTTTTAACAGTATGAGAGGCATGAGTAGTTTGATAAATGCATCAACATGTATAGTAAAATGAAAGTGCAGTAAACAAGGAATCATGAAAACTTGAAATACTTGACGTGTACTTCAAATTACTCGTTCATATCAGTTGATCCTATTAGAGCATTTGCGCTGTACGCTAATATATCAACCACATATTGCCATGCCAAAGCCAAACTTGTTATTTTAAGACAAATTATACTCTATTAGTCCTACTAAGATTAAACACAAACAGAGTTATTTAAACAAGCACTAAGACATGGAGAGATTATTCGTGATTGCAATACTGCAGATAACAAGAAGCAGCGTGGATATTTTTTCAAGTACGTACTGCTTCAAAGTTTCGCTCCATGTGCTGTTGATATTCTTTGACTCAAGGTAAAAAACTAACACAGATATCCTATAGTGTGGATTAAATATTGCAAAATATTTCTGCATCAAAAACAATAGGACACCACGAATGTGACAGTATATGTATTTACCGCACTTATTTTCGATAAGCACCCACCCCTAAAAAATCCTGATTTTCTGAGTTGAGGCCCCTGGGCGCTGACGCGGTCGAGTACGGTATATGATAATAACAGTTGTCCACATTGCCATGTTATGCATTTCCCCAGTACGACCAAGTAAAAAAAAAACATGTACACATTTTTATTTCATGAGCAGTTGTAATCATTATGATTGATAATTACATGTAAATGGGAAAAATGAAAATGAAGGAATTGCTATAATTCATATTCATAATTCAGTCAGTTCAATTTAGATTAATGTATAAATACACAGTGGGAATGAGAATTAGTGATTAGTTAAAAAAAGTAATTAAAATTGAAATTTTATACTGTAAAAGGTTTGTGTCTTTCGTGTGAATTAACTTGAATTACAGGAAGCAAGAGGCAATGATCTCATTGTTTAGATGTATTATTTTTGTTGAATTAATTGCAAAGACTGCAAAGCGAATATCCACTTTTGTCACCTTTCAAAAAATGAAGCTGCTTATTCATCCAAAAAATTGTAGGTAATAGGAAAATATTGTCACTGATGTTCAAAATTATCAAAGAAATTGTAGAAGAAAAAACATAAAAATTCACAAAATTTTGCAACAAAAAGTTTGCCTTCAAAGGGTGACATTTTTTTCAAATAAGATGCTCAGCTAAAGAGACCAGTCTAATAGTCACACATGATTGCACTGTAGTTAAAAAATCTGCAAGTAAAAATTTCCAGAATTTCTTGTTCAGAAATCATCCCAA